GTGGAATTCATGCTTTTTCTTTTCTCCTTTCGAATTTTCTTTTGATATTTTAAGATTTATTATTTGGAGTCCGATAGATTTTGATTCGATCTTGAATATAAATGTTTTAAAGGTGAAAATCGAGATCGAGATGGAATCTGAATTAGGATAAAAATCTTTGACTCACTCATATCATCATTATAATATTTCCTGTATATATTTAGGGAGAATTACTATAAAAGTCTTTTCCATCTATGTTTTCAATTATATCATTATCTGACCGAATAAGATAAAGAATATTCATTGGGACAAGACGGGACAAATGGGTTTTATCCTAAAATTGAAGGCGAGTCAAGATTGAGTGGAAGTTTTTAATTTTTTAGTCAAGATCGGACAATCGAAAAATCGATGTGCCCCGTCTCGTGCCCATCTCTAATAGAATACAACAGAGGTGAAGCCATGGAAAATTTTAAAAAAGGGGTTAAAATTAAACTATAAGCTTTTGAAGATATCAATTTAGATTATTTTAAGAAAAATTATGGAAAAAATACAATGAAGTGAAAATTTTAGTTTGAGCGAAAAGATTAATGATCTAAACTTGAACATGTTAATTAATTTTGTTTTTCTTGACAGATCAGTACTTGTTCTTCAATGGACGGAGTCATTTATTGCAAGACTCATTTTGAGCAACTATTCAAGGAATCTGGGAATTACAGCAGGAATTTTCATACGAGTAATGCTTATATTCTAAGATCAATTGTTCATATTATTTGGTATGGTAAGTAACGGAGTCACTTTAAATATTAAAACAGGGTGAAGTACACAAATAGTCCCTTGACAATATATTATTGCTTTATTAAGTCCTTCGACTATTAAAAGTTACAAAATGGTCCTCTAACTATAAGATATTGCTTTTTTTTTAAATCTCTCGACTATTAAAAGTTACAAAATATTCACCCAACTATTTGTAACTTTTAATAGTCAAATGACTCGATAAAGAAATACCCTATAGTCGAGAGACCATTTATGTACGTTACCCATTAAAATATTATATCACAATATTGATATCAAAATTTGAATCTTTTTAATTTCATCACTGAATGTATCTCGTTTTTATATTAAACGAGCCCATATTCTTCGTATCCTTTTTATTTTGATTCAAAGATAGGAAATGGTATAGTTTGTTGACACATTTTTAATTTCTTTTGGTGACCACTTTTGTAGCAAAAACAGAGAAGCAAAACGACGGGGTATGTTTTCTTTCTTTTCTTTTTTTTTCCTTTGTTTTTACATACTGAAATTTATCGAATATATATTTGTATATAACATTTAATTTAAATAATAAGTATATTTTTAATCCTATTGTATTTATCATAATTATAAAAATAATACACGTTCAAGTAAATATGTTTGTAGAATGCGACTTCCAACAAATTTTCATCAATGTTCTCTATAACCCAAGACGAATGTTCCGCTTGTCAGAAGACACTGTATCCACTGGAAAAGGTAAATAAATTTGAGTAAATTACACATTTGATACTTAAATTATCAGTTTTGATTCGTTTTAATATCTAAACTTTTAAATTTTTTCGTAACTATACATAACGTTTAGTTGTTGTTTCATTACATGTTAAAAATTAACGTAAATTTTCAACAACAAAAACTATGAAAGTTTAGGTACTAAAACGGATGAAAATTGATTGTTTAGGTGCTAAACACGTTAAGTTTTTAACGGTGGGTACTAAAATGAATCAAAAAGTAAACGTTAGGTATGATTTAAAAAAATGAAAGTTTAGGTGTTAAAATGGATAAAAACTGATAGTTTAAGTACTAAACACGTAATTTACCCAATAAATTTTACACTTATTTTTTAATTATTTTAAAATCGTAAGTAGTTGTAATTGAAAAATTTATTAAAAAGTAAATTTTAAAATAAATTAGATAATGTTAGGTAGAAATTGAAATAGTATATTCTTTTTAACAAATTGTATTAATTGTATAACTATTCTGATTACAACTTAGAAAGCTATTGTTCAGACATTCTCGGTTGTAACGAATAATATCAATCGTGTAGATTTTTAAATTAAATATATAACATTTTAAGTTAAACCGGTCGTAACCTAACATTAAGGTGACCAAGGAAAGCGAATGTTTCCACAAATCATGCTTCAAATGCTCTCATGGAGGCTGTCACTTGACGCACTCTTCATATGCTGCTTTAAATGGAGTGCTTTACCGCACGCACCATTTCGCTCAACTCTTCAAGGAGAAAGGAAGCTACACCCATGTCCTCGAGGCCACCCAAAAGAAAGCCAATTCCACGGCGCCGACCGAATCCAAAGAAGCTTCATCGGTTCAAGAGAGTGGAGAAAACGAGTCTTGAAAAAAAATCATACGACATCGTTCTCATAAATTTTCTCTTTCATTTTTTAGTTTTTTTTAAAAGAATTGACGTATAATTTGATTGGGTGAAGGACAACGTCGACAAAGCTTGAATTTATTTTGGTAATGTCTTGTTTTTGGATTCGATTGTCTATGTAATTCATATAATATCATTATCCTTTTTCTATTTTAATTCTTGAATCTCAATTTTAATGACATAGCATGTTAATTAAAAGGAGTTTAAAGGGGTATAGATATTCAAGCGCTGAATGTTGTTATTAACTTCGACTTCCCTAAGAACTCAGAAAGCATCCTTCACAGAGTATGTAGGTTAAAATATTCTTTTAAAGTTGCAGCATTTATCTTTCTTTTTGGTAATCCTCATGGACATTCAGGTTGGTCGACCAGGAAGGTTTGGTCATCTTGGATTAGCAGTCAATTTGATCACTTACGAGGACCGGTTTAACTTGCATGTTATCTTATCTTTAGCAGTTTTGATAATTTTTAGTGCCATGTACATTTTTGTAATGATTCATTGATTATATGGTTTTCACAAACGGTATAGGATTGAGCTAGAACTTGGGACTGAAATTAACCAAATTCCTCCACATATCGATCAGGCTATTTACTGCTGGTGATTTATTTGGGACGTTTCCTTGGCCTTCAGTTGTAACGACGGAGATCAACAGTTTCAGATTACATGCATGAAGTAATTTCTTTGTACTCTTTTTCCATGTTCTATTATTTCATCTCTGCTAATATATGTCGATTGTTGAGATTATTGATTTTGTACTATCATTTGGATGCTTCCTAGGGTTAGCGAAGCTGGTCTTTCAACGTCTCGGTCCTTATGCATGGGCAAACGTTCTAAAACTTGAGTGTTCAAGTCTTTTAGCTGGCAATGATTAGGTATATAACCCTTGTTCTCAAATTCCAGTCCTGAAACTTTAACCAGGATTGTAGGAGATAAGTTTTGTCGGCATAGTTTGCTGGTCTGATCGTCACAGAATGGTTCTAAAGCTGTACCTCGTGCCGACAATTTTTTCTTCGTTGTTGCATTTGCTCTCCATCTTTACCACTCTAAATAAAAGCACCTGAATTCTAAAAAAAAAAACTGCCTTCTTTTATTGATTGCAATCCAAGTCTGTTGTCATAAATATTATTAGGTTTGCCAGAAGAAAATGGTATATGTTTAACAATTAATGAGTATTCATACCTATCCCTCTGTCATAGACTCGCTTGACATCCAGGGGTCATCTTCCTATCATACAAACATGGTGGCTGCCGATAAGATAATAATCACTTATGTTGAAGATATCCCTCAATCACAACGCTTCGATTTGAGGTCACGGGCAGCAAGTTCTTCACTTCTAGTCTTTTAACCAAACCATTCAATGCCACAAGTGACTCTCCACCGTTTGCTTCATCCCAATACGGCAACACTTCCACAACTATCTTTTGCAACACTTTTTGCTCAATAGCTTCTCTAACAAGTCCTTCGAGATCGCCAAAGCTTCCCCTCAAATCCAATAGAACACTGCACAACCCCTGGCGTTTACAGTGCTCTAGAATTGGAGTCAAATTTATCGGATCCAACACCACTGCCTCGAGTCCTTTTGAGCCAAATATCCTTCTGCTGTTATCTCTCTGTCTGCAAATACTATAGTCTTAGAGACTTCTTTAGCAAGAGGAAGTTGATCGGGATCACTTGCTATTACAATCTGAAGAGGTTGATTGGCAACCGGCTCTTGTGACATCGAACTTGAAAGCTTCTCAGTTAAAGATCCAGAAACTATTATCGCGTCAGATTCTTGCAACAACTTTGAGTAGTATCCACCAGCCTCGGTGACTCCTTCCCCGAGCTGGTCTAAAAGGTGACCATTGACCGAGAGGGAATATCTGGATATCATGCAGAGGCCATTGGTTAGAATTCTCCAGCACAACCCAAAAACCAGCAAGTTCTAAGGAACAAAAGGAAATAACAGGTCCTATTTCGTGTTTAGAATCTACGGTGGAGGAGATTTACCTAAGAGTCACGAAAGGCTTCCCGGTTAACATTTGATGGATATAGGCTTCAATGAGATCCTTGCATAACTCTTCTTCAACACCCACAGTCACATCGATTCCTGCATCCCTCAATCTATCCACCCCCTTTGAAGCTACAATCGGGTTAGGATCCACCATACCGACCACCACCCTTTTCACTTTGGCTTTAATCAATGCTTCGGTACACGGCGGAGTTCTTCCATAGTGATTACATGGCTCCAAGCTCACATATGCGGTTGCATTCTCAGCTGAATCCCCAGCATCTCTCAAAGCAAAAACCTGCCAACATAATTTCCAACATTCACTATAGTGTACATTCCCATAAACAAGAAAGAAGAACAAATTCCAAAAGGAAAGCATAAACCAAAGTTACAAACTGAAAGTCGATCACGAAAACTCAGACTAAATTATCACAATACAGCATTTAACAAGGTCTTCCTCACACTATAATCCCAAACTTTAACGGGTGATTTTGGTCTAAGTTCACTCTCCTAGGATTCCAGATTGGCAGTTCCATCATTACTGTTAAAAACTGTTGGTCAGACTCAGGTGTGACTATCGGATCGGATATGCATCCGACACGGATATGATTGATCTTTTTAAAGTTTCTTTCATGTATTAGGAGATCCTTTGAGGGTTACACATCCGATAAGCCATCAAACACAGATATGATTTCAGTAAAACGAAGAATCACAGTAATGTAGTTCAAAAATCATACGATTTACAAGGGAAGATATATAGATAGAAACATGAAAAAAGAATTACCTCGGCATGAGGCTGGCCAGCTTTAGGATGAAACCCTTGACCAACAATCTTGCCATCTTTCACAATAACACATCCCACCATAGGATTAGGACTTGTGAACCCAATTGCCGTTCTGGCCAGCTCCACACACCTCCTCATGTAAAACCCATCGTCTTCCACCACTTCACATCGAACCCTAGCCAAACCACCGCATTTTCTCGATCTTAATTGAAACCCGGATACCCTTTTCGACGAATTAAAAGAACAAAACGGGAAATGTAGATTTCCCGCAAGTTTGGGTAGCTGGTGTCTAGAAGAAAAGAGAGTGAAACCGCTGGGAGAAGCTGAAATGCTGGCTGAAGGTCGAGTGCAGTTTGGGAAGGAGAGTAATTGAATTTGCATCATTTCCTCACAATCTTAAGATGAACCCTAAATCTCCTACAAACCCCAATTCAGAAAATCAAATCGTTGCAGTAATTATGAAAAGGGGGCGGGGAATATAAGAACACACATTGGAGAGTGGTAGATAAAAGAGAAGAAAATAAATAGGGAGAATCCCTGAGTTATCCAAAAAGTGTTCACACAGGCACGTGAAAGAAAATTGTTTTTTTAGAGATTAATTATCAAATAATTAAATATATATATAATAAATACTACTTTATAATAATCGTATTTTAATAAAAAAATGTTTATCTAGAAATGTATGAAAAGTATAATTAAACGGATTTATTTTGGGTAAACTATTAAAATAATCACATAAATATAGGGTTATTATAGATATGACAACCATACTTTCAATTTTAAAAATACGATCATATAATTATTCAAGTGATTTCAATGTAACTACGTGTCGTTACAAAATAACGGCATAGCTGACGTAGAACACCAAAATTAAAAGTATGATGATTATGCAGACACCAACTTAGTTAAGTGGTCATTTAAGTACCCTTTATTACTATTTTTATTCATTAATTTTAATAGAAGAAGAACACATACATTAGCTATCATAATTTAATTTAATTTTGTCAAATAGATACTAAAGATAGCGTTTAATCGAGTTGAGTAATCAAATACACTCGCATTATTTTATGATTAATAATTTGAGATGAAATCATTTCTTTTTACTTCTCTGTTTTATACTTTAATAAAAAAATCCATTAAAATCCTCTAAATAACGAGGAATAATTAATTTTAAATAAAAATATTTTAATGATCCTGATTTTAAAAATTAATAAAAATAGATAATTATAATTTGTAATTATAATTCTAAAAAAATTAAGATAAACTATGTTTAGTACCTTCAAATTTAGTCCGTTTTAGTACCTAACTTTTAATTTTTTCAAAATCATACCTTATGTTTAGTTTTTGTTTCATTTTAATATCCCACCATTAACAACTTAGGGCGTTTAATACCTAAATCATCATTTTTGATCCGTTTTAGTACCTAAACTTTCAATTTTTTCCAAAACTTAACATTAAATTTTGAACAGAATACTAAAATGAAACAAAACCTAAAGTTTAAGTATGATTTTGAAAAATTAAAAGTTTAAGTATTAAATCGGACCAAAGTTGATAGTTTAAGTTCTAAACGTGTAATTTACCCAAAATATTAATCCAACACACGAAAAGGCACAATCAACATCTGCCATCCTATTGGCATTTAAAAAGACTAATCCAACACACACGGAAAAGTCAAAATCAACAATTCAATCCACCTATTGGCATATAGAAAAGATCAAAACAACATTGAATCCATCAGTACAAGATTTAGAATCCTTTAGTTCTTTTTTTTTAACTAAAATCAAATGAAATGCAGATTCATTTGTCTTTGGATTTCTCTTCTTCCTTCATTTTATTCTCCCACCTGCGTTTCTTATAAGCAAGCAACATGTCAGGCATCTTCAGCATCAAATTAGCAGTATTCTCCCTTTTCTCAGCTGAGATTCTGTCACATTTATGACCTTTCATCTTGGTTCTCATCTCTTTCCTCTCCGGATCATACGGCCAATCTTGCCCCGCTAAGAGCATTTCCTTTCGAAGCCTAGCTCGACGCCTCGCGCTGATCCCAAGAGGCTTCCACGCTCCGAGCTCCCAGTAACCCCACACTCCCTTCGATAACTCTACCTTGTACTTAGCCAACTTTTCACACCATGGGTATTGGTATTCCCCCACTGCCTTCGCCACTGATCGCGCTGCTTTGCCAGCCATTCAGAATGTTTCCTTCTAGAAAATTGGATGGGTGACGAAAAGACCTCGAGGAAAATTTGGTTTTATTATGCAACTGCAAGATAAGAGTCGGTTAATGTAATAGTTCCGAAATCAATATCGAATTGATAGAATACGTATATGTCGAGGGCTAAACTCGTTGAAGTATTTCTGCAACTGCAAGAGAAGAATCGGTTGATACAAAGTTTCAAAATCAATATCGAATTGATAGAATACGAAAGCGTTAAGGGCTAAACACATTGAAGCATTCTGCAAATACTCCTTCTCAAGGGACTCCCAAAAATCATAGGCACTGCTACCACAGCAAGCGAGTAGCTATCGAATATTCATATGAAGTTTTCAGATAGCATAATTCATGAGAGTTTCTGAATTGGTTAAACATGCATTAAATTGTTGGATAGATGCTCAACCTAAGTAGAAAAAAATTCAAACTTTTCATTGAATAAAACAGCATTGAAAACAATCCGAAAACAAATTAACAGCCACGAAACACTTTGTAAAAGCATATGAACGTATAGAACAATAGACAAATTAGAGAGAACCCAGTCAATTTCTTAGTTTAATCCATACAAATTGGATAAACCCATAAATAATAACCGACTGTAAGTGCATGAAATGTATGAAACCCTAATCTAAGGAAGATTAATGAAACGCAAGATGTAGTGGACAAAAAAGAAGCGTGAAAGGGGAACGGAAGAGCTTACCGGAGGCAATCGATCCTTATGAGCCGAGCGTCTTCGGTGATTTCACTTTAAGGTCTTTCTGCAAATGGGTTTTAAGAGATCTGATTGATGAGAGAGGCAAAAAAGAAAGATGCTTGGAAGAGAAAATGGCGATGAAAAAAAGGCAAAGCTTTGGGACGGGGAGGGTTGATTTTGGGTGAGTTTAGGTTAAGGTTGTGGTAGGTAAAAATGTTTAAAAGTCCTTGTATTATACTCATATTTGCATTTTGACCCCTTTACTAAAAGAAGAGAAATTGGACACATGGCGAACTACAACCGGTTGCGAAGCAACGTTGTATTTTGATGCTGACCCTTGAAAATTCAAATTATCCCTATATTTTAATTTTTTTATTGATAATTGATTTCTTATATTTTAAAATTTTATAAATTTGTATTTCATTAAAATTTTAAAAATTTATTCTCAATATAAAATCTTACGACGGTTCGCTTTCTATATTCTTGGATTCTTCCCTTTCCTCTAAAGTATTTGTGTCAATAACTATGTTTCTAATCATAATCGAGGAAGGATATGAGAATGATTAGAGGTGTAAACAAGATACATGTGCTTGCAAGCTTCTCAAGTTAGTTCGAAAAAAAATTTATATCCTTCATTTGAAATTTGTTTTGACTCGAGTTTAAGACGATTTTATCGGACTCGAAATTTGATCCGTCTTTTGAGGTAAAATTTAAATTCGATCTGACCTGACATAAATATTTGAGAGGGGGCAAAGTAGGGACGGAATCAGGATTTCACTTTGAGGGGGGCAAAGTATAACTTTTATAAAGTTAAGAGGGGCAATCTCATAATTTTCCTATAAATATTTACATTTGATATGGATCATACTACCCCACTAAGAAACAATTCTCATGGAACTCATAAACTTATGCATGTAAATTCTCTCTGCTATATATATACACTTGTTAAAAAAATGGTGCCCTACAAAGCGGACACGTATCTGATAATGGTCCATCCAACGCTCCAAACACGCCCTATGGAAAACGTGTTTACAGTTCTTCAAACACCCGACCTCTTCTCTTCCTCCGAACTCGATCAAGCAAACAGCACAATTCTCCGGCGGCTCCCCTCCGACGACAAGCTCCTCGAACTTCATAACAGGAAGGCTTTTCCTCCGGATCAGTGGAGACGATTCGGATGTTGTTCGGATCCGGTTATCCCGCCAAATCATATCCGGTTGGAGGTGGGAATCGGAGAATCCGAAGCGGATGAGAATGAGATCGAGTATCGAAAGCTCGTGAAGGATGGGTTCTGGTAAGGTAAATTCTGGGTAAGCAGTGGGAATCCCCATGAAGAATAAATCACAGAAGAAAGAGAAATGAATTATGGGTTTGGTTGTGCACGAAAACAGTTGCAGTACGTGCAAAATGTGAATGATTCTGTAAAGGCCTGTGTTATATTTATGCATGGGGTTTGATGGGTGGGTCAGGTAAGGAAATGACTAGGGACTGATGAAGTTGGGAGTAACTAACCAAGGAAGGCTGCGATTCGGAAACTTCTTAAAACGGAAATATTTTAAGGTAAATTATGCCTTTTCATCATTCACTTTGTTTTGTTCTTGTTCTGGTTATTGAATTTTAAAAAATTAATTTAATCACTTAACTTTTTGAATTGTTTTGTTTGTGACCATTCAAATGTTAAATAAAAAAGGGTGGAGTACACAAATGGTCCCTCGAACTATAGAGTCTTTATTAAGTCCCTCAACTATTAAAAGTTATAAAATAATTCTTCAACTATAGAGTGTTACATTGTTGAGTCTTTGACTATTAAAAGTTACAAAATGGTCACCTGACTATTCATTATATTCCAAACTTGTCATTTTTTGTTAAAAAATTGACAGAACTAAGCGTTAACCTACTAATTGTGACATGATAAAATCTGGTCTTAGAATCTCAAACAACTATTATATCTCAGTCATCATTCTAACGTCCAATTTAAACAACCGTTAACTTTTTAACGAAAAAGGATGACTTTGGAATATAATGAAAATTTGGGTGATCATTTTGTAACTTTTAATGGTCAAGGACTTGTTAAAGCAATATTCTATAGTCGAATGATCATTTTTTAACTTTTAATAGTAAAAAAACTTAATAAAGCATTACTCTGTAGTGGGGGACCATTTGTGTGCTTTACACAATGAAAAATAACATAATTGTAACACCCCAATCCCGGGTTAAAAGTATTGGGCTAACTCGAGATGGTCCTTGGTGTACTTGATAAGCTTTGAGCCAAATTGAAGATGATTTGGGGTTGAGTAAGCCCAATAATGAATAAAAAGGGTGTTTTTAATTTGTAGTCAGAATTGGAGGAATTAAGGAATCAATTTTACCCTTGTTTAAATTAAAGCTTAAAATCATTAAAATTGGGTGATATATATCACCGTCCGATGAAAGCCCAATAATGACGAGTTATTGATCTATTTTTCCCCCAAGGTGTCATTTCAAAGAAAACGAGAAGCGTGAACTCTAAATGTTAAACCTAAACCCTAAACTTTATATCCTAAACCTTAAACCAACGCAAACAAAAAGAAAGAGTAAGAGTTTAGCACAATCCATGCAGCCGTAGGTAGAAGAAGAAGAATAGAGATTTCCACAAATGGCAGACAACTTCTTTGTAAGGAAAATATAACAAGTACATCGCAATCCAATAATCACAAATAAGATATATAATTATTACAACAGATAACAAACTAATAACCAAACAAACTCAACAGAATCATTACAACATATTATCCTTTTTTCTTGTAAATGCTACTTCTTGTTTCCTGTATCTCTGTCGTCACATCATCCAGGAGTTGTTTTAATTCATTTTTCATCTGTTCTAATTTTCTGAGCTGATACAAGGCTCTGCTAATTTTCCAGGGTGACTTTTTGGCTTTATTCTTCTTTTTCTCTAATTCTATGAGCTCGTATAAGGCTTTGCGATAGGGTGAGCGATCATCATCATCACTGTCATCATCAGAAGAGCCGGGACCATCTTCTTGAATGTGTTCTCTCTTGGGAATTAATGGCAACACCTGATCCATATCAAATTGTTCCTTTACAACATTTTTCTTTTTAATATAAAGCAAGTTTTAATGAGACTAAACAAACCCTAGTTCGAGTTATGTGCATGTGTATCCAAACTTGTCTCATTTTAAATTTGGGGATAAATGAATCATTAATTTTTTATGAAATAATCTTTTTAATCACTAAACTTTTAAAAATTACAAAATGATTGACTAATTTATTGAATTGCTTTAAAATGATAACTACACGTTAGAAAATGTTGATAAATTGATAAGTTTAAGAATTAATCGTTTGATCAAATTAATAATCATTTTAAAACAACTTGAGAAGTTTAATGTTTATTTTCTAACTTCCAAAATTTTAGTGACTAAAAAATCGTCGCAACATAGTTTATTGACCATTTATATGTTTTACCCTAAATTTTATATGAAATAATGAAATTAGGCAAATATTAATTAAAATAAAGGTACAATACACAAATGGTCAATAAACTATGTTAAAAATAAATTTTGGTCATTAAAGTTTTTAAAATTACAAAATAGTCATTAAATATCTCAAACGACTACAAAATGGTTATTAAATTTTATCAAATTATTATCAAATGATTATTAAACTTAAAATTTTTAAAAAGAGGTCCCTATATTTGTTGAAATTTATCACTGCTTATAACATGCAATGACTATTTTGTAATATTTTGATAAATTTAATGATTTGTTTATAACTTTTAAAACATATGTGGTTAACTTGTGTACTTTATCCTTAAGAGAAAGAGAGACTTACCGCTGGGATGACGCACTTAAGTTCAGCGACAAATTTGCACGATGCACAATAATAAACCGGCTCCCTTTTGTGTCTCTTCTCCTCGCAAACATCGCAATAGAATTCGTCCTCTGAGTTATAAGCATCTTCATCTGAGTTCTTTCATATTACCTGATGACATATATCATATAGATATATAATAACTGATATCATATTATCTACCTTATGCTCCATTTCTTTGTATTCCCTTTTTCATATCAACATACATTTAAATATTCTTATATGTCCTATCAATATCCTATAAACTTACTCATATTCTCATATATCATATTTTAATATAATTTGTATAGTAATACTCTATAATTGTATCATATAATGATTTTACCCAATTACTCCTTTATAAAGTTTATATTACATGTTCAATTAGTCTCATGCTATCTTATAAATAATTTCCATTTATTTTATATCATTTTCCTTTTCCACTCACATAAACCATCTATTTATTTAGTTCCATTTCTCATGACTTCTCCAATACTCTTTAATAAAACTTTGTATCTCTTCACTATAATACATAAACCATAGTTTCCTTTAATTTATCAATCTTCCCTATATTACTTATGTATCCTTATTTATGCCCTCGAATTCATACTATTCTCTTAGAGTCTCCTAACATTTCTCGTATAATCACTTATACTATATCATATAACTTATACTTGATTATCTTATTCTCTCATGTTCATTTTATTTCTTATGACTCTATCATATAACTTATCTCATGTTCTTCCATTATTACATATTAAAGTCTTACATACATCATATAGCATATACAAAATCATTATCTTTAGTCATGCATACATACAATCAATGTAATACAGATAATCACATATAATTATAACCACACATAATCATGTCCATGGCTTCATGCATATTACTCTAGGAAATAGACTCATCGCAAGTCTTATTTCCATTAAACACTACATATCACTAGTATGCACTCACCTTGCCTCACTAGTCCATTCCAATATCTTATCTTCCCTTGATCGATCTTACTTGCCAAATGTTCCGGAATTGCTTTACGCACAGATCTACATAAATGTACATTTTGAGGCAATTATTAGATACCTACACCTTGTAATTGGATACTAGCAACTTAAACGAATTTATTAAATCAATATTCCCATTTTTCCTTTAGGGGGAATCGGTTCCCTACTAAGGGGGTATCGATTCCCTCATGACATTCTGGAAATTTTTGTTCGTTTGAAGGGGTATCGGTTCCCCTTGAATGGGTACCGATTCCCCTTGCCCAGAAATCATATTTTCAACCCGAAAATTACTTCATTTTCTCTCAAACACTTCATATATCATCTCCTTTTCATTCTTAGCTCTAGTACACATACTTAAACCAATCTATATTCATTTATTTCATCTTAAACCTCAAAATCCTATTTTCCATATGAGATTCAAGAATCATACCAAATTTTCAATGTGTTCTAATTCTAATTCTAACACTTCATACTTCTTAATTAGATTGATGACAAGTCAAATTCATCCATAAAACTTCAACAACCATACCATATCAAAATTTCATCTTAAAACTCATATTGCAAATTCCTTCATAATTCCTTTATCTTATTGTTTAAATCTCATATAAGCTTTCCTTAAGCTTATTTAATACCCAAAGAATCAAAACTAAGCTTAAAACTCAAGAATTAACCAACTGAAATTAAACTTACCTTTGCCTTGCTCTCCCACGTATGAAGAAGAAGAAAGGAGAAGAGAACTCTTGATGTTTCTCACATTTCCCACGTTTATATTACCTTTAAAAGGAATATAAAAATCTTTCTGGTCAAATGACCATTTAACCCTTAATTTCCTTTAATAATTACTAATTAACCTTCATCATATATATCCAATAATCATTGAACTATTTCATTCTTATACTTTAGTCACCAAATTCTGAAACTTTACAATTTGGTCACTAACCCGGTATCGAGGATGTTACATGCATAAACTCATCAATGATCAAAAACAAAACAATGAAAAGGTCTTGACAGCGTCGTAATATATATCTTATCTATGATAATGCAAAATACACACGGATTCTTTTTCTGACAGTTTAAGAAAAGAATAGCATGAAAATCTTTCTGATTCAATCTTTTTCTGAGCTATATCTGATCCAAACTAAAATTTATTTTCAGAATATCAATCACATGGGAGAAAATGTTATAGCTGCAGTTATCAACACGTGAATGTAAGTGAATAATGAGACACCGACCTTCACAGAATTAGGGACTAGACCCTTGTATAATGTTCCAAAGCCCTCGTGCCTAACAGTTTTTCTGAATGCATCAATCATGCCGTATACTCAAGAGGAGCCTTATTCCTCCCATCACCTCTGACAACTGATGCAGCATCTTTCCATCCTACCATTTGCATTCTTCTACGAATGACATCAAGAGGGTAAGCAACAGTTTGTCCAACAGTTCCAGCAGCAGCTCCTCAAGCAAGTCTGGTAGTCACACTCAACTCAGAGTCCTCAACAAATCCAAATTGTGGATTTTTTATTAACCAATCTTTTAGAGACTCATAGACAGCAAAGTTCAAACCCACATATGGTATCTGCAAACATAAAACGTGTTTGAAATCACAATGCAACAAATAAGTAAAGCATTCTCTTTGTCAGGTAATATAGTAATTCACCAACAGGAAACTCAGTGATCACTTTAACCACCCAAAATGAGGATATAGAATTATGCAGAAATCACAAGAACATGACGGTGGTGAATGGCTGAAGACCGATAAAATTAAAAAAAATGGGTGAAAAAAAAACTAGAGAAAAGTCCAAAATAAAAATCCCCGGAAGCTGATTTTACTAAGTGTAGGTTATATTATTGTGTGACCCTAAGAGAAAAGGATGTTTCACCCCTCCTCAATTCTTTTTCTCACAAGCTCCAATGATCTGCCAAGGGATGATCTCATCACAGCAAGATATTCAAAACCATGGACCGACAAAACTCCAAATAGAAGAAAATGAACAACTTACAACTCCAATGACAGAAGGAAGCCAACCCTTGTACAATGCCCATGTGCCTTCTTGCCGCAACACAGTATACAAAGCATGGAACATCCCTCTGTACTGATAAGGTGAGTTTTATGTCTGCGATTTATATAAATAAATGACGATTTGCTCTGATAGCCAAACTAAAAGGAAAATCCATGCCATTGATTTAAGAATTAAAAAAATTCAAATTTTCTTTTAATGCAAATAATTCAAGGAAATGAAAAATTTATCTCCAAAGTAGTCTCTTTCTTCTTGATAACATTGAGATAGATTAAGTCAAAAAGTGTAACATCAAACATCTTCCAAATGAAACAATATTTAAGAGCTAATACCTGTACAGTAAGCCTGCCTCGTACCATATCCATTGGGTAAGTTGCAGACATGGCAATTATTCCAGCACATGCTCCAGCTCCAAGGCGTAAAAGAGGAGTGAGCTGAGAATCTTCTGCGTAATTAACATGGAGAACCCTTATATGAACATTCAAGATTTCAAGGAAATCCTAATATAAATAAAGAAGACAATAAAATTAGCGATAATACCACTGCCAGTTTGTCGTTGATACAAATTCAGGATTCCCCTGTCACAAAAATAACAAGAAACAATCAGTCGAGAGAAACTCACATTTATTTCGGTTTAAAACATGAACATGCATTGCAGGAGCAGTAAAAAGGAAAGAAAATCTTGCATCCCCGATGTAAACATAAGGCTGATAGGTTGCATTAACTCAACCATAAAGATTCCGCTTGAATCAATGTTGTCAAATCATGCACCTAGGCATTGTCCTCAGTGCCAGAAAACAATAACGCCTCAAACCATTGCTAGGCACAAACATTATACGCCTACGCAATCTCTTTTGTAAGTGATAGGCACAAAGGCAAAGCCCCTTAATAAATGTTCTCTTCAATTTCATATTTGTTTAAAACTTTTTAATTAGATGTACCTTTAGTAGCAAAAAAGGGGATAATATAAAAATTTTCTACTTCTCAATATTGAGTCCTCAACAACAAACAAATAACCAAAATAAAATCATGCATATTAGAAAGCGAAACTATGAAAGAAATAGAAAAATTTCCAAGTTTTGGACCTATTTAGAGGTTATTATCATAGATAACTTAAGCTAATTTTACATGCATACAAACATACACATATATAAACTGTGCCTTACAACACTCAGACTAGCACTTTTAAGTGCTTTATGCCTCAAGCAGTATAATACTCTAGTGCCTCAAGTGCTCTTTCTACCCTTGACAACACTGGTTTGAACTGCTCTATGTTCAGTCACACAAGACAAGGACTGATCATTAAATTTTAGGGAACAAGTAAACACTAGCCTAAAAGATTTGACTAGTTTCAGTATGACATTCCCTCGAACTTGACAATACAGAGATGATGGACAAGAAGGTCAATCAATCAACCAATATAATAATAAATAACAAGCTGAATTGAACAGAGATCAGAAACCCTACTTCGAAGCTTGCTCGTAACTGAAGAATTTGACGGCAGAGTTAGGGACAATCCGTACACAATTAGTACCATTGCCTTTGAATAATCCACGAAAACCTTCCGTTCTCCAAATGTACTTCAAGCCTTGAATTGTTCCATTGTATTTTATATTATGCGGATTCTGAACCTGCATTCCCTCCCCCCCAAATAGAAGTTAATCATTTCAGAAACCAAATCATTCATCTTTCTAAAGACGATAAAATCCAAAGAAATTAAACAAAGTAAACCTGAAGTAATATCTTTAAACGTTCCAAAGGAGCAACGGCAGTTCGTGACCTGCATATCAAAAAAAGATTTAGAATAAACGAAACATTAATATTTTCACGCTTATTTTACAAATGATAAAAATCGAGATATTCAAATGTCTTTTTCCGTCGACACAAACAAACAGTGCGTAGTGAGAGAAAAAAAAGAGTGCTCACAGTCCACCAGCGACGCCGCCGGCAACAAGAGATTTGCAGATGCTAAGAACAGCATAGCTAGGTGCCTTGACGCCCTCTCTAGCTAGCTTCGCTTCCTCGGCTAGATTAACGATCGTTGAAACCGCCGATTCGCTAGTCTTCACATCCTCCGAAGCCATTGAAAACCAAAAAATATCACAAAAAACTAAAAAAAATAATCTTTGAAGTAACCGTAAGAAGTTATTTTTCCAGTAGGTTTGAAGAGTTCACGGGACTATCGAGGCTGATAATCCGGCGACCAATAGGATCGGATCGGATTTCCGCAGCGATTTATAGTAAAAAGAGGTTCCTCATTTCTCTCTTTTTTCTTTATTATTTTTGATTTTTTCTTTGCGTAGGTTTTTTGAGAGAGGTGTGGTGGACTGGAGGTGGCGGCTGATTCGAGAGCGGGATGAAGAATATGTTCTATTTGAGTGCGTGTAATGCTTGTTGCTATGACAGGCGCGTGGGTTTGATGAAGCTTTCTTTGTGAGAGGGTAGAGAAGGCTTTGGTTAAGGGTAATTGATGAAGCTTTCTTTGTGAGAGGATAGCGAAGGCCTTGGTTAAGGGTAATGACACGGCAACTTAATATAAAGTTAAAAGAACAGCAGGAAATAAGTGAAATTGAAAATATTATAAAAATCTTAATATATTGGAGGTAGGAATGAACAAAACTCCATTCAACTTGAAAAATTGAATTTTTTTACTTTATTCGACTTAAATTGGCTTCTATTTGTAAATTCATAAATTCGACTCGACTCGAAAAAATTTCAAATTCAAATCGTGTTGCAAAATTAACTCAAATTTTTTAGTAATTAATGGATTTATTTTCAAATTTAAGTCAAATCCTTTAACTTTATATGATATATGTATGTCACATATAAAAAAATATGAAGATGTATATTTGTATTTTATATATGGTTATAGAAAGTCACTTAAATTGGAATCAAATAATATTATAATATTATAAATATTTTCAATTAAATTAGAAAGAAACTTGAAATATCGACTCGACTCAAATCGAAAAAATTTCAAGTTAACTCTGAATTGTAAAATAAGACTCATCAACTTAAATAACTCGAGATTTTTTTACTTGACTTGATCGAATGCTCACCCGTAATTGTAGGTAACTTAAAATATTAATTTTTGAGTAAATTATGCGCTTAGTACTTAAACTATCAGTTTTGATCCATTTTAGCACTTGAACTTTCAATTTTTTCAAAATTATACCTAAAGTTTAGTTTTTATTTCATTTTAGTTCCCTATTCAAAATTTAATGTTAATTTTTTTATAAAAATTGAAAGTTTAGGTACTATAATGGAATAAAACTTATAGTTAAGGTACTAAACACATAAGTTTTTAACTGCAAGATACTAAAATGAAACAAACACTAAATGTTAGTATGATTTTGGAAAAAATTGAAAGTCTAGATACTAAAAATGATAAAACTGATAGTTTTGGTACTAAATACGTAGTTTACCTTATTTTTTCTAACATTTTTTGTTGAACCTAAAATGTTATAAAGAAATTAGGAAAAAGTTTTTGGTTGCTCCTATTCATGCCGTTCGTTCCTTAGTCTTAAATTAAGTTGTCGTTGTTTAAAATCTCCCTTGGTTAAGGATTTATGCTAAAGCTTTTGATTGTTGTTATAACCAATGTCTAGGGGTGAGCGTTCAATCGAATCGAGTCGAGTAAAAATATTTCAAGTTATTAAAGTTGATCAATCTTATTTTATAACTCGAAGTTGACTTAAAATATTTTCTAGTTAAGCCAAGTCAAGTCAATTTTTTTAGTTTTTTGTTTAAATTTAATGATAAATATTTATAATATTATGATATGATTTAATTTCAATTTAAATGGGTTTTTATAATCATATATAATACATGTATATTTCTTCATTTATTTATTATGATATAAATATACCATACAAAGTTAAGCGACTCGACTCAAACTTGAAAATCAATCCGTTAATTACTTAAACTTCAAGTTATTGGAGTTATTATTCGAGTTGTATTATACAACTTAATTCGTACTTGAAATTTTTCGAGTCGAATTTATGAAATTACAACTCAGAGTAGATTCGAATCGAATATTTCGACTCTAGTCGAGTAAAAAAATTAATTTTTCGAGTCGAGCTTTGCACACTCCTACCAATGTCCATAATTATATTGTTCATGGTAAGAAATTGGATGTTATTTAAATAAAATTTAATTTTTTTTATAAATTTAGAAGAATATTATTACACGAATCAAGTTACATCAGTAATTAAGAGATAGTTATTATCTCTAAATTTTTTAAACTTGAGCACATCGTCTGTAGAAATTTTGAGTGTTCATTATTAAATAAGTGAAAAATTTTCAAATAAATATTATTTTGTGAGATAAAAATTAAAAAATTTTCAAATAAATATTATTTTGTAATCATCTCAACTAATAAATGAAAAATATATTTAGGAATCATGATTAACAAATATTTAAAATCTTGAAAAAAAATGCATAATTTTTTTGATAACTTTTAAACCTATCCTATTTAGAGAGGAGTGAAAAGAGACACAAGAAAAAGAAAAAATTAATAAATTTAAAACCCATAATCTAAAAAAAATATGAAGAAATAGATAAAAAAATTGACTATACAACCAAATTTTATAGCTTTATATTAAAGAGATAAGAGAAAATAGATTGTTTTTATGTAAATACCTTAAATTTTATTAGGCTTTCCAACAATAGTAATATAACGATACGATAAATATCTGACCTACTAAATTTTTCTTCTCATCAATAGTGTCTTTTGTTTTTATCAAAACTTTTTAATATTAATTTTTTGTTATTTAAATTAGATTTAAGTTAAAAAAATTTCACTTTAAATTTTAGTTCGATTGAACTTCATTTTTATAAATTCAATCAACTTAACTTGAATTTAATTTTTTAAAGAAAAAAACTCGACTTAATATCAAATCTTATCAAATTAAAGTCAAATTTTTATCTCTAACTTGAAATTAAGATAAATAAAAACTTTGTAAGAGAGTGGCTTAACACTCAATCGATGGTTCATTTTTTATGTCATTTTGCACAAACCATTTATTTTTGGCTAAACAATGGGAAAAGCTAGGCTAGCTAGCAAGGGAGCCTGTTAAGCTTGGTCAGCAATGCCTTCCGTTTGCAACAACGGTTCCAGCGAAACGGGAGGCTCTGGGAACCAACAGCATTCCAAATTCTGATGCAAAGCCATTTTAGCCATACCGTCTGCGAGCATATTCCTTCACGATTCACGTGTTGAATTTCAACTCTCCAATTCCTTCGGAGATAGCCTGCAATATGAGCTACGATCAAGATCTGATGATGATCTTCCTTGTATTGATTCACTAGCCGAACATCATCCGTACTATCACATTCAACGATCACCTGAGGCTCACCCATCTCCCAAGAAAAATAAATTTGGCTTTTGAATCCAACTCCCATTGGAGTTCCTTATAACGCCCCACAACTCCCATTGCAAGTGATCTCTTTCAAGTTCCTACACCGATCAATCAAGGACCTATTGTCAAAAATAGGCGCATCAAAAACAATAGAATTCCTATGGAGCCATAAATTCCAGCCTATTGCACCGAGGAAAAAATATCCCCTTCTTGTGTTTCTGTAACAAAATCTCGGGGGTCCGACAGATTCATGGCCACCCACGCTTGAAAATCCATGTCCATGAAATCCCGAAAACAATCTCTTTTAACCAAGTCACTCCAGGCCGCCATTGCCGCTGGACATCGCCTTAAAATGTGATCTCTGTCGGATAGAGGCAAATGGGACAGCTACCATTTAATGTAAAATGGCGATGCATCCTTCCCGTGTTTGTCATTAAACGACCACAACAAGCCAGCAAGAGAAAGATCTTAATGCGTTGCACACCCCGATATTTCTGAATTAGATTCCATACAGGCTCCGAAGCCTCACCATTGTTATTCGTTCGAATACTGTAAGCAGATTTAACTGGTAAAAGGTCTTTAAATTTTCCCCAGCGCCAATTACCAAATGTGATAATTTTTCAGTGTTGCGATATTACGAAATTATTTTTATATTAAATACCATTTTTATATAATGTCACCGGTATATCGTTTCCATGATTAGTGTATAATTTAAATAAAATTAATTTGATACAATTTTTAACATGATTTTTGGATAAAATTATGCCCTAAATATTCGAGGCTTACTCTAAAACTATTATACTAGAATGCATTGACATGATCACATACCATCACACATTAGAATCCAAATAACATAAGGGTAAAGTACACGAATAATACTAAATTATTTTGAAATGGTTTTTTTGGACAATAAAGTTTTAAAAGTTATAAAATAGTATTAAATTTTACAAACTAGTATAAAATGGTCATTAAAACTTATCAAAACATTATGGATTATCACTATTTTATAACGTGCAATGACCATTTTGTACCAATTCAATAAATCTAATAACAATTCTGAAACTTCTAAAATTTTAATGGTCAAAAAGATCATTTTATCATAGTTTAATGACCATTTGTGTGCTTTGCCCTTAACATAAATGCATTGTAAAAGCCTATTAAAAACCTATCAAGCACGAAAAATTAAAACAAACGTGTTGCTTCTTACATCATGAAGTATTGAAGACCAACAATCATCCTACTTTATAATTCTAACCAACATAGCTATCAACTGAAAGCTGTCCAGGTTTCGAGACTCGATAATGCAGGATTTAAGACTGTAGTCTATTCATAGGTTAATTCTACAAATGCTACACACAAAAGCATAATCAGTTATCTACTTTGAGATTATCTAAATCCAATGTTTTTTCTTGTTTTCACTTTTGGTACATTGGTGATCGGGGAATGGGTAGAGATGACTAGTGTTCTGACCTAAGATCTGATACCATACAACATAAGAATCTTGACACTTGGGAGTGGTTAAAGTGCAAGATCTTACCACGGTTGCCCCATCCCACCGAGTCGCCGTGCCAACTGAATATCCTTCTTCACTGAGGCAACAAAGGCACGAAGTTAGTTTCTTACTTCTGGAAGTGGAACAAATTATTTGTCAAACGATAAAAATCGATAGTTGAAACTGCAAAATCGTGCTTTTCAATCAGCAGAAAGTTTGAAACATGATCTGATAGTCACTATCAAACGGCAACCATAGCCTGTTCATAAACGTCACTATGCTATAGATGCAGAATAAAGATTACTCATACAAGCAACCCAAACTGCTCCATGATTCGACCATAGGCCGATAATCAAACTTTTAAAGACACCCCAGGGCACCATTCTGCCTACGTGAGCTCTCATCAACATAAAGAGCTAACATCGGTACATCAAATACACAGCATCCAAGTAGCAAACAAAATAAAACCTGGAGTTAACTGAAGAAATGTAGAAAAACCTAGATGCACACAACACCCTAGTATCAAAATCTTTCAAACAAAAAATCAGTTTCTCCATTCTTTAACTTACTCAGTGTTACACGCTTAGCATGAATTGCGCACAGCATTGCATCTCCAAACAATTGAATCAAATAATCCTCTGCAGCCTAGAAATACATAAAAAGTCATATGCTTGTCAAAGTTGAAAGTAGTAAAAGTATTGATACCACTAATTGCCTTGTCAATCAGCAAACAAACTAGAGTTCATCACAATCATACAGTTAGTTAGCAAATGGAAAATAGCATATTCATATGATACTCAAATTCAAGTCTGTTTTTGGACACATAAATGCAAAATGAAAATATGCTAGCTGTGTATACATATGCAAGTTAACATTGGCAATCTAACCTATGGCAGCATGACAATACGGAGACCAGGGAACATGATATACAACAGACCAACCACATAAAATCACATGCAAAACAACAGCTTGCACATGTGCGTGCAATATGTGTGAGTCTCCATGTCTACTTATATTTGAATGCTTATCATTTTATTTATGATAGAAGGTTGGATAAGTTACCGAACCTCTTGAATTGCAACTAAAGCTTCAGCTTGCCAACGACCTATGTCTGGTGCCAACCGGTAGCTAATAGCTCTTACCTACAAAAATCATATCGAACATCATTGCTTCCTGATTAGCCTTATACTACTCTCAAGGCATTTTTACCCTTTGAATAAGTCACAAGTGCAATGTTAATGTTGGTTATTTGTGAAATTCAGAGTCAAAGATAGAGTTTTAATATGATACCTTCTTTCAAATTCAACTATAACATGTACTGAGAATAAATAATCTTACTTCAACCTCGAGGTCCTCAACTATTAGTTATTAGCTCTAACAAGACAGTAACAATACCGAATTGCATTCAACTAATAATGCAGTTGAGATTATAAACTAGTTTAGAGAGAGAGAGAGATTACTTCTCTGATGAAGCTGGCAGCAGGGATAAGTCGATCTGTGGTCTTCTGGTATTTCCGAATCTCTTGAAGTGCCCTAGTTCCTGGTCTAAAACGATGAGGCTTCCTTGGTGTTCCTTGAGCTTCAAAATTAAAAAAAAATAGAACATTCAATCCTTGACACAACATGCATTTTGTTACCGATAGTGGGGATATCATGTCTGAGAAAAACTCACATGATGTGGCCTGTCCTCCAGTTTTACTTGGCCTCCTACTGCTAGCCTTCAGAAACAAAAAGGAAAAGAAGTGCAAATTTGACCTCAGATTTAAATCACAGTTATTAAGATAAAGGAAGGAGGCAAAATTTAGGGGAAAACAAAAATAACGAAGAACGAATAAAATGGTAAAGTTGGGTGCTAGAAGGTTCAGAAAGGAGATAGTCTTTCTCCCTATCTCTTTGCACTTTGAGTGTTGACTTCAAATTTCATCCAATATTCCAATATCATTAAATTGAGCTTAATCACCATTGTTTGGTTGATGACCAATGGTGAAACTGATATGCAAAGTCTGAAAATTTCTAGATTTGCTAAATATCTTGAGTCGTTCAAATATTTGTTCGTGTCTTCATTTCTTTACTCTATTTAGCCATCGAATAGAGGTGAAAAGCAAGCAATTGACACTGAATACTTTTTCTACTCCTTTTAATTTTCCAGAAAATAATTGGGGGGGGGGGGAATCACCAACCCAACCTAATCTATAGGTTTTTCTAAGAACATTTTCTCATAAACGATGCAAAGAAAAGGAAATTTCTCAAACAATAACGAGAAAGTAAAGGGGAGATGGAAAGAAGTTACCAAGCGGGTTTGAGGAGACGCCGTCGACTGCGAGGCTGCGGTGGCAGCTGCTTTTTTTGTAGCTAATTTTAGAACTAAAAGTTAGCAAAGCCCTAAACCAAAATAATCCATTCAGGGAAAGATAGGGTGCAAAAGGAGAGAAAATACCGGATGCCTTTTGTTTTCGTTTCATAGAAGCGATGTGCTTGGTTCTCGCCATGGGAGAGGACTGGATAAAACACCTGAATCTCACTGTGTTGATTTTTATTTGAAATTTTATTTCCCGCCCTATTTAATCTATGTTTCTCTTGCATTTTGACCCTTCGTAATTTTTTTGTCGTATCTTTTTAGGTTAAAGTATAACATAAGTCAGTAAATTATGATTAAACGATTTTTTTAATCATTGAATTTTAAGAATTTATAAAATAGCTTCTATTTTTTTAAAATATTATAAAAAGGATTATAATTTTTTAATAAATTCAATAATTATTTGATTAAATTTAATGACATCTATATACTTTATGTTTTTTAAGGAAAATTATAGAATTTTTTATCATTCAATTTTAACATCAGTCTTGTTTTAATTTCTAACTTTAAAAATATAATTTAAGTATTAAAACGGATAAAAACTGAAGTTTAAGTACGAAGAGCGTTGAGTTTTTTATGATGAGGTACTAAAATAAAATGAAAACTAAACATTATGTATGGTTTTGAAAAAAATTAGAATTTTAAATACTAAAATAAATCTTGTTCAAAATTATAGAGTTTTACTTTTGAAGGGTTTTATGGATAAAATTATTTGGTACATTGTAGTTGGATTAAGAAATACTATCATTAAAATTTTATATAAATCTTTAATTGAAGTATGAATTTAGATCATGTCTATACTATATATATTTATACCTTACAAATTTTACCTGAATCGATTACCTGAACCGATTTACCCGAAATAGACTCGAACATGATGACCCAAAATTGACCTGAAACCTGAAAAATCGAATCGAACCAAAATCAACCCAAATTTTATCAAAACCGAAAGTAACCCGAACCGAACCGAAACCGACCCGAATTTAACCAAACCAAAAATAACTAGAATCGAAAGTAACCCAAATCGAAAGCAACCCGAACCGAAATCAACCCAAATTTAATTTGCCAAAGCCCGATATTTTTTACAAAAATATATCAATAATTCTATATATAGTTAATTTGACATATACCCAACTCAACCTGAATTAACATGAAGATACAAAGTTGACCCAAACAAAAAATAATTGATCTGATATTGACATGACCCGAAAATCAATTGATCTGGTTTAATCTAACCCGAAATCAACCGATCCGATATGACTAGACTCGATACCTGAACTAACCAGACTTACTATAGACTAGAATAAAACCGAAACCCAAAATGACCCGACATGACTTACTATAGACCCGAATAAATCGAAACTCGAAATAACCCGATCTGATCCAAACCTGACCCAAATTAAGTCTAAACCGAAATGATCCGATCCAAATGACCCGTTTGCCACCTCTATATGTACTATTTGAAAGTTGGATGATTATACAGTAATCTTTATTCCGAATTTTTTAATTAATTGATAATGTATACATATATTACAGATATAACTCTTCGAACAACAAATTTTTTTCTCAATAAGAGCAATTAATGTGTTAAATATTAATGTAGTGAAACTACATTGATCACATATAATAATTTATAAAAAAAAAATATCGAAAAATCATATATATGGGTAAATTACATCGTTCTCATTGAATTTTATTCTCTCTCATATTTTACTCACTGTACTTTCAATTTTTTTAATTTGCTTAATGAACTTTACAGATTAAATCATTTTGCTCACTCCTCTGTTATCTGTCTAATGTTGTGATGATGTGCCATTTTTTTATTTAGTATAAAACATTTGAAAATATAAAGGGTAAATTATATCGTCCATCACTAAACTTTACTCTCTCTTCTATTTTGCTCACCAACTATAAAAATGAGGAGAAAGAAAAGGATTCGAAACGGCGTTGTTTTGGTGTATATTTGAGTTTTTCAAAACGACGTCATTTTGATGCTTGTGTCATGTTATAACACCTTTAAAAAGTTAACGACGGAGTGAGCAAAATGATTAAATTTGTAAAGTTCAGTGATCAAATTAGAAAATTTGAAAGTATGGTGTATAAAATAGGAAAAATAGTAAAGTTCAATAGAGAACGGTGTAATTTACCCTATATATATGATTATAAAATTAATATTTATGCATCAAATCATATATATATATATATATATATATATATATATATATATATATATATATATATAATTTAATATTTTATATATTTATATTTATCTTAGAAATAAAAAATCTATTAATTATATTATAATCATATTTTAATCTCGATCTAAATCTTGAATCACAAAATTCACAATATGATGTACGAAAAATCGAAAACTCGTTCAACAGTCATTTTCTTCCAAATTGGATGCATTTTAATTTACTACAAAAAATTCAGAACTCCAATAAAACGCCAAAGAAAAAGCTCAGCTATATTAAAATCGCTGATATTTTATTTTTCTGGGCTTTCAACAACAACATTAATAATTTATAAACCCTAAAAACTCCACTCCACAATCTTCCGCAAGCTTCTCTACTGCTGTGGTCCTTCATTTTTGCTTTCATATAAATTCCAAAAATAATTTTCTATTTTTTTGGAACAAATATCACCGCAAAGCATCTCTGAAGCCCTAAGCGCTTGAATTTCAGCTTCAGTCGTGAATCTTCCGTTGAATCCTTCATAGGTACCGTTGAAGCAACTCCTCTGAACTTGTATCCGTTCGGTAAGGTAGAATTTCCAACGACTTTTTTTTATTACGTGTTTCTTAGATCTTTGAGCTCGAATCTCTAAGTTCGTCGAAGTGAATAAGGTTTAGTAGTTTAGTTTTTCGCGTGCTTTCTGGAGTCGGCAATTTAGATAGTTAAGGTAATTTTAACTGGATCTGTGCTTATTTATTCCTTTCTTTTTATATAATTGCTAAATTTAATGTTGTGGTTCAGTTTTCTAATTATTGATTTTTTTACCGTATCTAAATGCAACATTTCGCTTTTTTAAAAGAAAATATTCCTTTTATTTATTGAAATTGACTGTGTCTTTTACTGGTTTGCTAAATGGGGAACGTCTGCTTTGGAATTGAAAAGCTGGAATTGTTTCTAGAGAAAAAAGAATAAACAATGTGCCGGTTATGACTATTGCAAATTTTGTGTAATTATTTTTTAGATCTGTTTAATTAGATTGAAAGCTGATGATCATTTTTTTCAGTAAAAGTTGAGTGTGATGCATAAATTGCTGTTGGAAATAGAATGGTATCACAAGGAAACTGAAGAGGGAGCAAAGGGTTTTGTGCTTTTGTAAGTTTGGAGTTAATTTATCCAACCTAGCGATTGATTTTATCAATGTGGTTTACTTGCACCGAAGTTGATGATGATTAACATTCTTATTTTTGGGAAATTAATTGGAGAACTTGCTTGATCATAGCTAGGTGTATTTCTTTGTTTTGGTAAAAGATTCTAATCTTAGTGAGTGGCATATGGGGTACATTCGTGTTGCATTGTGAACATTGCTTGTATTTTTATCTGCTGAAACTTAATTTATAGCATCTATTCTGGAAGAGTTTTCTTTGTGGTGCTTTTCGCTCACAACATTGTGATTTTAATTTTTTTTATACATTGGATATAGTTACTCAGCTGCAAATATTCTTTGGTAAGGATTGCCTGAGCTGAACAAAGAGATGCAGGCTGTTGGCTTTCAGTTGGAATGAAGAACTTGCAGGTTTTTATCTTTTAATAAGTAATTTTTCATATAAATGATTGGTCGCTTCTAAGTTAGCTAGGTAGTCATTGCGCAGAGTTTTTGTTGGTCGGTGCTTCAGAAGTAACGTGGAAAGAACTGTTTGTAGATTTTCTTACTGTTGCATTAGTCTGCTTATCAGCTATTCCTTGACACTAACTTGAAGATAAATTTTGTTCAAATAATAGAGCAAACAAGACGCGAAACCTTCTACTCAAGATTCTCATGAACCAAAGAGGGAACAGCTGAACAATGAAACAGCAGATGCCCCCTTAGCAGACACTGGCTCTTTATCCGCTTCAAGCAACAATGGACGAAAAGTTTCATGCGAAGATATTGAACTTGTTGGAAACCGATCTGTTGTCTATTTTATTTATTTATTTATTTTTTCTTTCTATACATGATACTTGATGCTAGATGGTCTTTTTATATATTTTTCTATTAGTTATATGCAACTAATGATTTATGTAAATTGATTGTTGCAGGTCCAGAATTTAATTGAACGATGTTTACAGTTGTACATGAATAGAGACGAGGTTGTCAAAACCATCTTGACTCGAGCAAGGATAGACCCTGGATTCACAACATTAGGTATTCTCCTGAAATATCTTTATTAATTCGTGTGTGGGCATGCACACACACATATATGGATGTGGATTGAAAATTTATATAAAATGCATTGAATGTCTATGCATAAAGTAGAACATGTTACAGAAACCAATCTACTTGCAATGATATTTTTGAATTTTTTATCTTAACAATAGGACAAGTACACTCCTTATTCAAATGTGGTTGAATTGGGTGCTAACTCTGTCTTTCTCTTTACTGTTCTTATATATTCAGTGTGGCAGAAGCTGGAAGAGGAAAATGCTGATTTTTTCAGGGCCTATTACATAAGGCTGAAGTTGAAGAAGCAAATCCTTTTATTTAACCATTTTCTTGAGCATCAATATCATTTGATGAAATATCCTGTACGTCCAAAGGTTCCTCTGGCCCCAATACAAAATGGGATTCATCCCATGCCTGGTATGTTCTGATTAAATAACTAATAGACACATGCTTGTATTTGTTAACTTATAAAGTGATCATTATTTGGCATGAAATAACTACACGTTTTAATAAATTTTATTAGTAGCATCATTGCTGATCGCTCTAGAATTGTTTTTTTGAATGTGATAAATATTTATGATTGTCACCTGATATAACAATTTCAGAGTTAGATGATCAAATTCCTCTTTTCAAATTCACAACATGAGCAAAAAATGGATGGGTTTCAATCACTTGCAGAGATTGTTTTTGTAATTTTCCACTTGATACGGCGTCTATTTGCTGTTTGTTTGATAATTTCTAATTTAGTAAGTTCGCAGTTCTCTTCTCTATTAGGAGAACTGGTGA